TAATCCTTTTGAGATATAGTATAAATTTTCTCATGTTCACATTCTTTGTTTTCACACCCATGCTCGCAATAATTATAACCATCTAAATCGCTATTAAACTCCTTACGTGAAGGTAGTTGTGTCTCATTAAATTTCGTTTTGCTATTTAATCATTGATACGGAAATATTCCTTTACGTGTAAGCAATAATAGTAAATGAGGTGAGATGAATTTTGACATAATTGGAAAACATTTTGCTAGTTGTTCTGGTGTTTTAGTTTGGCCCTTCTTTTCATCGCGTAAGTTTTCTGCCATCTTAGCTAAACCAGGTAATGAAAATTTTAAACTATCAATAAATTGAAGTTGGCCAACTGAAAAGGTAATATATTGCTCAGAATTATTTGCTATAGGCACTATTTTTTCATCTGTCACTTTTGCTATTTCTTGCATTAGATGATGAAAATCGTAACCACTTCCATTACAGAATAATACTGGAATTTTTATTGTTTCTGGATTGATTCGTAATTTTATATTACATCCACTATGAGCAGGACCTCTAAACTTTCCTGTAATATGATCATGATCTATCACTCTATTTTTTTCCTCGTCTGGTAATTGCGTTTTGCAATACATACATACCTTACAAGATTTATGTTTTTCTTTTTGCTCATCATCTAACTTACCTTGAATCATTGATTTTTTCCCGTGACATTTTCTATGCGAAGCATCCAAATATTTTTTGGTTTCAGCATCGAATACACGAATTTTATTATATCCAGCTTCATGTAATTTTTCTTCACATATCCAACATTTGTTTGCAGTTTGATATTTTTGCCATAATTCAGGTGTCATTTTTTCACATGGAACTATTTCACGAAACTTATCTAAAATAACTTCTAGATTTTCTTGAAGGTTTTTCATTAAGTCTTTTATTATATTTTCTGATTCTCGATTAATTACTGGTTTTTGTGTAGTCCCATCTGAACAATGTATTGTATATTCATATGAAATTGCTTAGCATATTTTTGAAATACTTGGGTTTCACATAGTTTTTACCCTCTTCAGGAAGGATTAATCGTTGTGGTGCTTTACTTGGTCCTGGACATGTTGGTATATGCTTTTCTAATAAATCTAATCTGCTGTATGGGAATCGTAAACATTTTCAGCAAAAGTATTTCTTTCCATGATGATTATTCCATTTATGCATTAATCGTGTAAAGTCAGTTATAAATACATAATGCGTTTTTAATCCTTCTGGTATATCATTTGTATTTTTTCGATCATTTAAATTTTCTTCACCTTCTGTTAAATATAATAAATCTAACATATGTTCGACTTGATAATTTCTTTCAGAGATATGTAATGGATCTATATCTACTTTTATTTTTCTGAACACTTCTT